TCAATTTTTTTTTTCAAATATTTCTTTTTTTTCAATTAAATTTTTTTTCAATATTTTTTTTTTCAACTAATAACTGAGGGAGCAATTGGTAATGCTACTTTAAATCTTGGGGAGGGGATTGTAATTTCTAAAATGTGGAGGGTGTCACTGTAATTTACTCAGTGAGGGCAAAATTGGTATTTAAAAAAATTAAATTGCTGACATTAGCAAAATCTGAAGTCAACTAACTGAGGGAGCAATCTATAATGAAATTTTAAACCTCCGGGAGGGGGATGTAATTGTCAAAAGGTAAGGGGAGAACTGTAATAAACATAAACCTCAGGGGTTGTCAATGTAATTTACCCATAGTTTTAATATACCAACTCCACTATTATCAACATTAAATCCTAAATCTTCAATACTAACTCAACTAATTATATCACAAATGATATTAAAGTCGTGAGGCCTTTTAAAGAAGCTAATCCTTCTCGACTAGTACGATATTATTCGCTTTGAAGTTAAACTTTTAAAGCAGCTAACCCTTCTTCGACAAGTATGATATTGTTCGCTTTGGAGTTAGGCAAAACCAACAGCTAACCTCTCACGGCTTTAAAAAGTCTCATACTAGTCTAATGGAGTTAGACCACTCATGTAGTGGAACTGTGATCTCTCACAGAGCGATGCGAAATGCGTGGACTTGCCGAGTGCACCCACATAACTCCCCAGTAGACTGCTTTGGAGTTAGGCGAAGCCAACAACTAATCCTTTACGATTTTAAAAGACCTCATACTAATCTAAGGGAGTTAATACACTTATGTAATGGAGTTGTAATCTCTCATAGAGCGATGTGGGATGCATGGATTTGCTGAGTGCACCCATATAACTTCCCAATGGACTGACTGTTTGAGTAAGGAGTTCCCATAGACAACGCCATATAAAGCAGCTAACCTTTCCTGATTAGCACAATATTGTTCGCTTTGGAGTTAGGCAAAGCTAGCAACTAACCCCTTGCGGCTTTAGAAGGCCTCATACTAGTCTAAGGAAGTTAGTCTACTTATGTAATGGAGTCGTAATCTCTCATAGAGCGATGTGGGATGCATGGATTTGCTGAGTGCACCCATATAACTTCCCAATGGACTGGCTGTTTGAGTAAGGAGTTCCCATAGACAACGCCATATAAAGCAGCTAACCTTTCCCGATTAGCACAATATTGTTCGCTTTTGAGTTAGGCAAAGCTAGCAGCTAACCCCTTGCGGCTTTAGAAGGCCTCATACTAGTCTAAGGAAGTTAGTCTACTTATGTAATGGAGTTGTAATCTCTCATAAAGCGATGTGGGATGCATGGATTTGCTGAGTGCACCCATATAACTTCCCAATGGACTGGCTGTTTGAGTAAGGAGTTCCCATAGACAACGCCATATAAAGCAGCTAACCTTTCCCGATTAGCACAATATTGTTCGCTTTGGAGTTAGGCAAAGCTAACAGCTAACCCCTTTCGGCTTTAAAAGGCCTCATACTAGTCTAAGGAAGTTAGTCTATTTATGTAATGGAACTGTAATCTCTTACAGGGGGATATGTTGACTTGCTGAGTGCACCCACAGAAAGAACATGGGATACACATAGCAAGGCAACCTAGCAAATGTAGAAATGCATGCACTTATTTTGAGATGGTATTTTTTTTTTTTTATTATTATTTTTTTTTATGTAGAATTGCAATTATTCATTATTTATGCTACAACCCATGACAAGCTTAAAATTTGACTAAAACCTTTAAAAATTCATTCTCCACGATCTATCAAAATTATTGTCAAAGTTTGTATTAAATTTGACATAATATTGATTGAATTACACTTTGCGTATTTTATGTTTGGCTATTTTATCACTTTAACCTGTGGAGTTTTTTCCCCGTACATTGGCCTTCTCTATTTTAAGTGTTTCTCTTCTGATCAAAATTAGACAGAAATTATCATGTTAACTGTTATATAACATAAAAATATATTATTATATTAGTGTTTAGGTTTGTGTTAGAAGCATGAGTTATATATAATAAAATATTTTTATGTCACGTATTGTCAATGTGTTATTTTTTGTTTAATTTTAGATATAAGTTAGTTTTGGAGTAAATTAAGAAAAACTTAAAACATAAAGGGTCAAAGTGAAAAAAAAAAAACATTTAAGGGTCAAAATAAAATAAAATAACTAAATATAAAGAGGGTAAAGTGTAATTTATTCCATAATATTTGATAATTTTTAAAATTTGAAAAAACCTCTTTCTCTTTACCTCTCTCATGATACTAGTTTCCTTTAATATATATATATATATCTTGAAAAGTACAAGAAATAACATTTACAAAATTTAAATATAATTTTTAAACTAATATATTTCAAAATTTTTACATGTCAAAATTTAATTTTGACATCAAACATTAGAGATGGTCTCAAAACCAAACGGTGTTTGGGATGTCATAAAATAGTCACATTTTTTTCAAAGTTCTTTTGTCTTTAATGACTTTTTCAAAAATTATATCAAAATTTTTTATTTTTCTAGTACATCTTGTATAGATAAATATAAAAACTCAAAAAGTTTGTTATTTTTTATTTTTTTTTTGAAAATTTTAATTTTTCAATTCATCTCATTGAATTTAATCTAAAAACCTACAATTATTTGAAATTTAAAAAAAAAATATTACTACAAAAAAAAACTATCGAAACAAGCAGACTCCAAACCCCTGCTAATTTCACAAGTAAAACTTTCTAATCTCATCAACATTGCTTAACATTCACAACCCTTGATGCATAATTGTATGATGTAACCTTAGTGCATTTTTGTGTTTTGGTTTTTTAATAGTCAAAGGTTAATGCGCATGAGATCATTTCATATCAACTCAAAGTCTTAAAATGATTAGCAAATTGGTAATTATAAACACTCTATTTAAAGTCCTTTTAATCACTGTGATGTAATAAGCCTTTTTTTTTTGGTGCATCTTCCAAGATTGGATAGAGTACTAGGCTTAATGTCACAACCTATAAACATATGCAAGGACACTTATTCGTCATCAAGTCTAGGTAGTTTCCACATTAAGATTAATTATAAACTAACAACCCATTTGTAATTATATAAACCCGCCCCCAAATTTGGTCAACTAGTATAATGAATAAATAAAAGAAAATATTATGGATTCTAAAGCCTTGTTTGTCACATATTAAAAAAGTTAAAAAGTCACTACTTTATTTAAGTCATATCATCTTATTTAAGTCATATCACATCTCTATCACATTACTTCAAATCCAATCTAAATCGAAATCCAACTTATATTTCATAAAAAGTTAAAAAGTGCAGAGCATTCCAAACCATCCCTAACGCTGTGTTTGGTTAGAGGATTTGGGGAGAGATTTGGAAAGGAAAATGGAAAAGGTAGGTGAAATGTGAATAAAACATGCATATATTTCACCTAGTTTCACACACCTTTTCTCTTTCCTTTTCCCAATCACTCTCCAAATCCCCCAACCAAACAGCATAAATAAATTATCAAATTTTCTATCAAATCCCTTACATGGATATGAAATCCATACAAATTACATATATATAAGTCCCACACCTATGTAAGAATAAGAAATTTGATAAAAAATTTAATAATTTATTTAGAATCCTCAACCTAATTTATAAATAAAAGAACTATTGACCTAGGACGGCTAGGTGTGATTAACACGGCACCATATGATTACATCAAACACCAATTATTATAATTTGTCCATTGAAATTCATCTCAGTGGGCGTCGATTTGACACCTGTTTTTAAAGTCCATTTTAAAAAAAATTTAACCTTTTTTTTTTGTTATTTTGCATTTTTAGGTATCATTATTTAAAAAAAAAATTTAGTCTACGAATTGTTTTGGAAATTAATTATTTTAATTTTTTTTATAAAAAGACATAAAAAAAAGTAAAAAAAAAATTATTAACTTTTTGATAGTAATTTTTTGACTACTTTAAATGGGTCCCTATAAAAATTATATTAAAAAAATGATATGAAACTTGTACAAAAGATTGCCCAAAAAAAAAAAAAAAATTAAAAAAGGGTTCTAAAGTAGGTCATTTTGAATTTCTCTTTTATTAATTGTTTGAAAAAATTACAAATATTGAGTTTGATTTCTATAACAAAATAAATTATGAATTTTTAATTTTATCAATTGAAACTTTAATATTTTGCTTTATTTTAAATTTAAATCATTCGTTTATTTTTATTAAATAAAACTAATGAAAAAAATATTTTAGCCATTAAACTTAATATAGGTATACATAAAATACCTAAAATATTTTTTTTATTGAATTTAATGATTAAAATATAATTTTTCAATAAATTTTATTTAATAAAAACAGGCAGATGATTTAAATAATAAATAAATAAATAAATAAAATTTAAATTAATAAAATTAAAAAGGGTAAATTACACTGATACCTCCTGAGGTTTGGCCCAATTACATTCTATCCCTAACATTTTGGAAGTTATATTCCCATTCCTGTGGTTAATAATCTCATTTCACAAACCTCATGCTTATATAAAAGGAAACAACTCCTAATAGAAAAACAAATGAAATTACATTAAAAAAATGGTAAAACAAAGGAAAGGGAAAAAAAAAGAGATGAAATAAAGTAAAACAAGAAAAGAGAGATTGCATGAGTTCAATATTTTCATTTCGTATAAATATTACAATGATATGAGAGTTAATATAATTTCTCAAATATTATGAGATGATATGTATTAAACCCAAATATTAAAAAGTGTAATTGTAATTTACCCAACTAAAAATTCAAGATTTGTTTTGTCAGAATGTCAAATCTTGAGTTTTTTTTTTTTTAATTTATAATTTTTTTCTTATTTTTATTTTGTTCCATTGAACATCTTTTACATGGAGTGTAGAAGGGCATTTATGTCACTTTGGAGCAAACTGTTAGGATGGAGGTAACGCAAGGCCCCGTTTGGTAAAATTGCTATAAGACCTGGACAGTTAGTGGGTCTTCCCATTTCTGTTCGATGTCCCTTCCCTGCAAAGTGTAGTGACAGACAGAATCAATCGACAGAGAGAGAGAGAGAGAGAGAGAGAGAGGAACAGGAAAAAAGAAGGATAAATAAAAGAAAGGAACAAATTACAAGTAAAAACAGGGCACCCCTTTTCTCTCTCTAGCCCCCTCTCTCTCTCTCACACACTCTCTCTCACACACACACACTATCTTCCTCAAATTTTGTTCCAAAAAAGAGATCACTTGGAATTGATTCAGGGTGCTGAATTCTGAGCACGTAAAGGGCTTCTGGGTCTCTTCATCGTGGCTCGTTCTTTGTGTTTTGCATATGGGTTTTTGATGATAAAACTGTTTGTTCGGTGAGAGAGAAGAGAAATTTCAAGAAAATGTCTGTGAAGAGCAGAGGAGACCAATCTTCAAGAAGTGTTGTATCTAAAAAATGGACCATTTTGTTCTGTATAGCTAGTTTCTGTGTTGGCATGCTCTTCACCAACAGGTATATATCTCTTCTACAATTCTTATTTTTATTTAAATTCTTAATCACTACTTTTATTCTTATGGAACTTAATTCTTGTTCTTGTTCTTTCTCTGTTTTTAGTTGATTGATTAATTATTTGAGGGCTTTTTGTGTGTGTGTGAAATGGGTATAAGCCATTTTTATGAATTTAAAAGTTCGTTGGGAATGATTTTGCCGTTTGTATTTTATTCATTTTTTTTTTCTAAGATTCAAATTGAACTGATGCTTAAATTTCTTAACTAAAGTGTTGGTTATTCTGGTCATTACATTGTTTTTGGCTGGGGATTTGGGAAGTGACTTAGAAATGAAAAGGAAAATATTTGTAAAATTAGGTGAAATGTGGTATATTTTATTCACATTTTATCTATTTTTCTTTTTTCTTTTCCAAATCAATTCCCAAGTCCCCAACCAAACACAGGGTAACTAGTTTAGAGGGTTGTGTAGCAGTGATTTTTTTCAAGATTTTGGATGTTTGGACATCTCATCATGGTGCTTTTAGTTTGAGTTTCCATTATTTCATGACCTATATTTTTTGGTTTTTATTATTTGTTTGATAATATTATTCTCCTCCCCATTCCCATACCTTTTGCTAATAAATCTGGGGCATTTGATGATAAGAGGGAGGATAGATCTAAAATATAAGTTTGGCTATGGGCTGCACACCACTTGTTTGTTGTGTTTTCGTTTTTGTTTTTCTTGTTTTTGGAAACAAAATAATAAAAAATTTGAAAACAACCACCATTTTCATATGTTTTCACTTTTGTGCGAAAACAATTTTCGAAAATTGAAAAATAACTTTTTTATTTTTCTTAAAAAGTGAGTGATTTTCACAAAATTTTCCCAAAAGCAGTATTCAAAAACAAGTTTTGTGTGTTTGTGGTAAATGAAAACAAAAACACAACCAAGCAGTCCAACCTTAATGGGTGCAGTTTTCCTCTTGATGATCAAATTGGGTTATTGATGATAACAGTTTGGTTAAAATGCAGTTGGCAGTTTTGTGCCTTTTCCATCATCATTTATTATTGTTAGTTCATCTCAATTTCTGATGCTATTGTTCCCATAATTAATTGATGGCTGCATTTGTGGACCATGTGAAAAATTGCATGATGCTCTTCTGCTATTCATACCCTTATTAATAGGCGGCAACGCGTCTGACAATTGCCATAATTTGCCATACTCTATTTTTATTACTGGTAGATGGATCAGGAAGTCACTGATGAGACGTAGTTATCATCTGGAAAAACTCCCTAGATAGTATATTTTTCTTTCAATTATTGATAAAGCAAATTGGATTACAAAAACATCTACTGCCACACACTCATTTCATTGATGTCATATGATCGGCTTATGGTCTAAAGTTGTTGCAATTTTGCTTTGATTAGTACCAAAAAAAAAATGTTTTTGTTTTGAAATCAACTGTTAAGACAACAGTTGGAGCTGTTATTTTTTTGGGAATAATGATGTCTTTATAACGATGACAAAAATTGGGGACAGAATGTGGGCATTGCCTGAGTCCAGAAGTATCCCAAGGACAACTGCAGTGGAAGCTGAAAAACTAAAGTTGGTTTCGGAGGGTTGTGTTCCAAAAGCTGTATGTATCTCCACTGTTCACTTTCTATTTGGGTTTATCTTGATTCTTAATTTTGTATTCCTGTTGCACTATGATTTGATCTCATTGAGCTTTTCTAGTTGGACTGGAAGGTTGTAAAGCGTGAATCTAAGGACATTGTGGGGGAAGTTTCTAAGACTCATCATGCTATACAGTAAGTTCTTCTTGTGCTTGTTTACATAAGTAGATTCTGTGTGTATACTTCCATCTGATTTTTGGGTACCTTGGAGTGGACCTTATACTGTACTATATTGAATGTAGAACACTGGATAAAACCATTTCAAATTTAGAGATGGAATTAGCTGCTGCAAGGGCCGCGCAGGAATCTATTCTCAGTGGCTCTCCTCTATCAGAAGACTCGAAGACTGACTTATCCTCTAAAAGAAAATATTTTATGGTTGTTGGAATTAATACTGCTTTTAGCAGCCGGAAAAGAAGAGATTCAGTTCGGACTACATGGATGTTACAAGGTTGGTGGATTGATTCTTTCTTTAGTTTCCTACTAACTTCTTTTTTGAACAAGGATTCCTCCTAACTTCTTGATTTTATTTTTTAATGCTATTTTGGTTGCTTTTTTTTGGAGGTGATATCTGATGACTCTTATTTTGTAAAACTTGAAAATAGGTGAAAAAAGAAAGAAGCTGGAGGAAGAGAAGGGTGTCATTATTCGCTTTGTCATTGGTCATAGGTAGTGTATAAGTTTTGTTTTGATTTTATTGTTAACTAGACCCTCATTTTATGCTTGAAGGTCTTTATCAATGCTTCTCCCAATACTAAACTATTTTTAAGAATGTAGCTTTTCCCCAGTCCTTGACGGTCTAGTCCCAGTTCATGGGCCCTACATTTTTGATGATCCTATCTGTTAAGATTTTAGGCTCCCATATGTGGATCATTAAAATAAAAATTAAAATGATCCGATATATGTAGCCACATGATATAATTACATTTGCTTCAAAAAAAAAAAGGATGGTAGCCATATTATAGTTATTTTGTAGCCAACCATATCAACAGCCAATGGGTTGCAATTAATAGATCATATCCCAATGTTATTACAGCTGAAAGGTTTGTCGGTTCTTTAGCATACTTCTGTAACTTACATTCATGAAGCAAAGCCGAACTCTTTCCCTACTCAGTCTGTGTTCCTTAGTTGTAAATTGTATGTATAAAACAGTCCTTAATGCACCTTAGTGATCCATTTGGTGAAGATAAAAGGTTTTTATCTGCAATTTTTTTTTTCCCAGTTTAGTTTGAAATTGCAAATATAACTTGACAATCATGATATTGTAATCTTACTTTATTCGCTGAAAACTGTCTCTTCAAATCCCATGCATATACATCACACATTTGGCAATTAATCTTATTGTCATGTCCTTGTAGATTAACAATCATAGAGTACAGTTTTAGACATACTGAATGATATAGTCTGCTGTTTCTGCATTACCAGTCACACGGTTGGAGGCATACTGGACAGAGCCATTGAAGCAGAGGACAAAAAACATGGAGATTTATTGAGGCTGGTAATACTTCCTCTCTTCCAACTCTCTTCTACGTCTACTATTGGCTGTTCTGCTACGCACTATGGTCACTTTAAAAATCCTTTTGTTATTTACTTTATGTTACCATAATGTGAGCAGGATCATGTTGAGGGCTACCTTGAACTGTCTGCGAAGACAAAGTCATATTTTGCTACTGCTGTTGCTTTATGGGATGCAGATTTTTATGTGAAAGTTGATGATGATGTTCATGTAAATATAGGTAATAAATTTTCTTTTAGTACTTGATATAAAAATAAAATGCATACATGAAGGTCTAAAATCCAATATATAGATGCAAGACACTTAATGTGTAACAACTTTTAAATTCCCAATCAGGGTAGAAACTTCAGATGCCCATGTTCATCTGAACCTCTAAATTCAAATCTATGACTGATATGATTGATTAAACAAGTTTTACTTGAAAATGAAATTATATGTCTGTGTAACTCTACAAATTATTTATTTATTTTGTTGCATTGGGTAAGATGTTGTAAATTTTGCAGCAACACTAGGAGAAACTTTGGCAAGATACAGGAAAAAGCCACGGGTGTATATCGGATGTATGAAATCTGGTCCTGTCCTTGCTCAGAAGTAAGTGAAATTTTGTCCTAAAATTCTTGCTGTTAACTGGATGTTGAGAAACTGTTTAAGCTTTTAGATGTCTTATTTGTGCACTCTGTGGAACAGGGGAGTGAGGTACCATGAACCTGAATATTGGAAATTCGGGGAGGCAGGAAACAGGTATTTTAGACATGCTACAGGACAACTATATGCCATTTCAAAAGATTTGGCTACTTACATCTCGATAAACCAGTTAAGTTACACTCTCACATGGTGTTAAAAATGAGAGATCAAAAAAACAATTTGTACTTTGTCTCGCTGTTTTTCTGATGATTATTGGGTCTCTGATGATCTCAGGCATGTACTACACAAGTATGCTAATGAGGATGTTTCGTTGGGATCTTGGTTCATTGGACTTGATGTGCAGCATATAGATGACAGGAGACTATGTTGTGGAACCCCACCTGGTAAACTTATAATATTCATGTCATGTAACAATTTTCATGCCATTTTGATTTCTTGTTGCCTTGATTGACTCAAAAGAAGAAAAAGCAAGAAGATTGTCAGTTTTGAGTTTTCAAAGTATTTAAAAGCACTGCTATAGATACCCCAAAAGCACTGGAAATTTGACAATCCCATCACTAGGGGGTGGGGCGGTCAAATTTTCAGTGTTCCATTGCAAAATTTTCAGTATTGTTACACGTAATAGTGGGGGTGAAAGACAATCTATGGTGATAATGGTACAAAGATTATCATCAGCCTTGTTTTTGGACCCAAAAAGAGAAGTTAAAGAACTGACATGCAAGGGTGGTCAGATTTTGTAATGGTACATTTTTCGTTGCTGCAGATTGTGAGTGGAAGGCTCAGGCAGGCAACATCTGTGTTGCTTCATTTGATTGGAGCTGCAGTGGGATATGCCGGTCCGTTGAGAGGATTAAGGAAGTCCATCGCCGGTGTGGGGAGGCTGAGAATGCTGTGTGGACTGCTGCCTTTTGAGGATCAAAACCCAACCTGTCAATTCTTCTTCCAAACTCATGAAGGAGGTCATACGAGTTTTTCTGTTTTTACACCTAGTATAGAAAATTAGATATGATTTTACACGGTTGGATCCAAGGAGAGCGAGAGAGAGAGGCCTTGCCATGCAAACCTTCTCCATTTTAGTAGAGAAGAGTGGGCTGACCGCCAAAGCAGTCAGAAAAGCAAGCATGAGGCTCTCACTATTCGTTCTTTTACAGCTTGGAGAGCCCTTTTGTATAAGTCACACTTCTGTTGCTACAGACATCATAATCAATACAAATTTTCTGGTGGCTTTTCCTGCCCTTCTCTTCAAAACCTTGGTGACCTTCGCTATCTCCCTACTCTGCCATGATTTTCGATTCTTGGACTTGCTCAAATCTTAACTCAGTAAGTTTCGAAAGGAGACATTGGAAAATATGTTGTGAATTATTACTATTTAATATTCTCCAAACCGAAAATGATTACCAGTAAGTCTTGCAAAGTGTGGAAAGGTTCCATTTTGTTTCATTCATGCCTCTGGCTACAAAAAGATGCTTTTTCTTAATTCCATTGGAAACCTTTTCAAGTTAAAATTACAGTTCACAACTAGCTAAATTTTTCTACAATCTGGAAGGTTTTGGTACATCATTCAACTGTCGTTCATTAGATGCCCTTTTGTTCTTTTGACCCGTTCAACCGATACAATTTTGAAACCAAGTTAATGTAAAAGCTGATATTGCACATATATAGCTTGCCATAGGAGAACATAACCGCGCTCAATATAACGACCATGGTACGTCTGTGTTGACCAGATTCATTATCGGTGCTACATACTTCATTTTCTGCCTTCTTTTTTCGAGGCCAATAAGGACATAGATATGGTTTGGAATTTTTTTTGAAGTCTACAAATACACACATAAACGTTCTTGTTTTATTCCATTCCTACACACTGTACATATAAATGTTGTTGTTTATCAAGAATATAATTTACCCAGAAACTTCTCCAAGAATTGTCTAGTGAATCTACTAGTTTGAAAAAGAAAAGGAAAATTAAAAAAGGTGTATTGTAGTTGTTGCTTAAGGATAAGTACTCCATGAAATGGATATATCAACCACACCCCAAAAAAAAAATAAAATAATAATAAAAAAAAAAATAGAAAAAAAGGTGTATTGTAGTTGTTGCTTAAGGATAAGTACTCCATGAAATGGATATATCAACCACACCCCAAAAAAAAAATAAAATAATAATAATAAAAAAAATAGAAAGTTATATTTGAACTTTTTTCTCAACTGAAAACTCCCCCAAAGTTTTATCTCTTTAATATCATACCATGATTAAAAGCATGGACAAACTGTGTTTGGGAGATATTAAAGTGACCCTCTTCAAATTGATATTTAGGATATAGAAAAAAACTTAAGTATGAAACACAAACAAACTGTAAATCACCCAACCAACAGAGGAAAAAGAAAAAAGAAAAAGAAAATGAAACTACCTTTAGATCTTGATAAAGAGCAAGAGCAGTGAAGACTGAGAACAGTGCCACGTGATATTGGCACGGCTCAATCAAAAAGCAGAGCCCAATATTTTGAACACTCTCTTTCATATTGAACCGGACCAATATCCCGTCTAATGTCCAACACTCAAACTACTATTTTCTGCTTCAAAATAATATATATATATATATATATATATATCAAACACCTAAAGAAAGCATAAAAAGATACATAAAGGAAACAAAAGATCACAATACAAGAAGCATGAAACAAGTAATATGTGTTCTTGATGATTAAGAAAATACCTTGTATATTATATCTAATGAGGATAGAGAGGGTGTGCTGCAAGGAGAAGCTCTGTTATTTTGAGAAGATGAAAGAGAGAGATGATAGAAAATGGGGGGAGTGGTGGCATTGAAGAAGTTGCATTAAATTCTTCAACTAACCCAACAACATAGGATATTGGTATATTTATTTTGTATTTTAAGAAAGTACAAAAATAGTGAAAAAAACTCACTGAGGACAAATCTGAAGCCTTTAATTTATGCATTTATTGGGTTATGGTTGTTGGAACAATTCGTCTTGAATTCTTCAATTGGTGGCTATGAAGCATGGGTACTTCGAAAACATGCCGTACCCGTATCGGGTACTTACCAGCGTATCGTACCTCGTATGGTACTTCTGCATACGTACTGGGTATACGAAACATGTACCCAAGTTTTTTCTTCTTAATTTTTGACGTACCTAGTATATATCCAAGTCGTACCGTACTTCAGTTGAAACAATATTTTCCTTCTACTGCAGAGATAAAACTCATTTCACTAGTTTTCTCTTTTAGTTTTTGTTTTATGCTTAGCATGATTTTAAAATTAAACTATGGTTTGTAAGTTGTTTAATATATTAACGTTTAATTTTGATTTATACTTTTCCTTTTGGCATTAAATGTTAATTATAGGTTGGACCTTAACAAATTAAACCATTTAATTAATTTTTTCATTACTCTAATTTAAAAATAAATATTTTTTTACAAGCGTACCAAGCCGAAGCCGTACCCGTACCCTATTTTTTTTGAATTTTACCGTATCGACGTACCCGTATCGTACCAGTACTCGTACCCGTACTTGTGCTTCATAGATTGGTGGTCTTCTTGCTCCACCGGATAGGGGGTAGTTAGCACATAGATCACTTTGAGAGTGGTGTGCAAAAAATGCATCTTCTTTTGCCGGTGTCGAAAATTTCCTCCATCAAAATGGTGAAGCTTCATGAAATCTTGAGTCATTTTCTGAATAAACATCGCCATATCTAAATATTGTCATTACATGGATGGAACAATTCGTCTTGAATTCTTTAATTGGTGGTCTTCGGGTCTTCAAAACTTGGTGATGAACTTGTTTATGTAGAATAAAAATATGATGCTTTAAGTCGCGTTACTTAGTCGTTTTCCTAAAGATAATATTTGCACCCACCAAAAGGTGTGCAGGAGTTTACATCAAATTCGCCTCCAGGATACAATGAAGCCTGATCTAAAGATCAAGTCTACCCGCGTCTGCACTGATGACAGTAGATCAGAATACTCTTCATATAATTAAGAAAACCAAGACACTGATAATCAAATCTGCAAAACTTGATTACCAGTAAGAAAAACAGAAATTTGCTAAAGAAACTCTTGATCAAAAACTCAAAATCAAGAGGGGGAGAGAGAGAATTGCAGGAATGGGAATGCTTCTAAATTTTTTTGGATGGATTGAAATGATTGATTTCACAGTTTATTTATAGGCCTTGATGCATCTGATCGAATGGTCATGTCCCTTGGTCGCATCCGATCAGATCGGACCGTTGGATTGTTGATCTACGGTGCAGATCATTCTCACATCGAATAGATGCCTTGACTAATTACACCTGATCACGTTCGTGTGCCATCTCATCCGTACAATCGTGCGCAACTCTGATCAACGGCTATGATCAAACCACTCCAGATTGGATACACAACCATTCGATCGGTTGGTTGACTCATTGCCGACGGACACCACGTCACCCATGCCACGTTGGATACACGTCATCGCTCTAACCTGTCCGATGCAAATAGGAAAGCGCCCTTATCGCGTCGATGCGTCCGTGCAAAGTGAGCCATCAAACGCCATACAACCCACTGCCCACGCCACGCGTGCGTGTGCGGATGGTGCAAATGCACACTAGCCTTCACCTCACAATTCTCTATTCAAAAGAATATTTCATGTAACACTTTATTAAGTGCTCCATGTTTTATTCTCTTTCTAATGTGAGACAAAATCCCCAAGTTTAGGGATTGTTTGAGATATTCTAAATAAGTACACTTTTGACTTTTTATGAAATATGAGTTAGATTTGAAGTGATGTGGTAGAGATGTGATGTGATTTAAATAAGATAAGGACTTTTTGATTTTTTTAGATAATGACAAACAAGGCCTTATTTCTAACTTTCCAAAAGAAAACAAGAAAAGTTTTGAAAACATTCAAAAATTAAATTGCAATATACATTTTAAAAATCATTTTGAAAATTCCGCAACAATGGTTACGGGTGGTAGGGCAGGGGCGGTGGTTCTGTTTCTACCCTCCCATTTAACCAACTCTGTTATGTTGTCATTGCCCCATTTTTGAACTTCTTCAAAGTAATGGTGACAGTGAGGCACAATAATGAATGTGTAGATTATGATATAAAATTTGTGTTGGTAAATTATTATTGTTTTTTCAAAGATAATTATGATATTTGTATAAAAAAAAATATATATATAAAAATCACAAAAATACACAGAATAATTAACGTGACGCCATATCATTTTTTTTTTGGTGCCATCTCCACTCAAGGCCAGCCTACCCTTTAATGAGGCTTAAAGTAAAATCTCAATATGAAATTTTTTTATATTTAAATAATATTTATTAATTTTCTATATAATGTATTCCATTATTGAAAATAAATTTTATATTTAAATAATATCAGAATTGATATACTTGAATTTCCTTAGATGCCAATGTGATACAACCACAACATGGTTGGTATATGTATTTTTGGGTTCATACTAACTTGTTTGTCTCGTAAAAAAGTTAAAAAGTCAAAAAGTCACTATTCTATTTAAGTCACATTATCTTATTTAAATCACATCACTTCTCAACCACATCATTTCAAACCTAACCCAAACTCAACTCATATTTCATAAAAAATAAAAAAATACACTTATTTAGAATATCCCAAACCACCCCTTAGAAAAATTAACAAAGGCAGTCCAACACCTTTTCGGACTTTTCGCTGATGAATTTTTTCTTTCTAGATTTATATTCAATCTATTTTGAAAAAAAATCTCTATTCAAATTTCCTTCTCCCTTTTTAAATCTATACTTAAATTTATAATTAAAAAATAAACTAAATAAAATTTTATATTTAAATATTAAAAATTTACATTGTAAATTTTTTAATTTAGCATTACTATCGTTACATAATCTATTTCTAGTAATTAAAATAGAGTATACTGCCATTACTCCTCGGACCCATTGGTAAAGAGTATTTGGTTTTAAAAAATGCTATGGATCTTAAATAAATTATCAAATTTTTTTGCCAAAACTCTCATGTGAGATCCACACAAATCACATGTGTTTAGGTCTCACACTCATATGAGAAATTTAGTAAAAAATTTAATAATTTATTTGAATCTCTAGTATAACTCTTTGTTTTTTAAGCCTTTAGATGAGGACGAATTTTCTTTTCTTTTCTATTTTTTATGTTGGAATTTTCGGATAAGTATTTTATTCTGTCATTATTATTTGAACACATAAATAATATATATATATATATATATATTTCATCAGAACTTTTTCACTTCGCATATGATTTTTTTACATGACAAGATAAAATGTATTCCTAATTATATTATTTTCATTTTTAATTATAATTAATTTTTTTAATTATGGCATTATTTTAAACTCATATTTGTTTTATTATAATACATTTTTTTAATTATAATTTAAAAAATATAAAATTATATCATTTTTTTTTCTTTAATTGGATATGGAATTTTCCCATTCTTAATTTTCCCCTCCGCCAATAATTTTCTCCCTCTATCGTAGCTTTGCCAAAGATCTCTCTGGATTTTGGTAATCGAAAATTCTTCTTCATTTTATTTTAATTATGGATAGTTTTGTTGTCCCTCTCTCTCTCTCTCTCTCTCTCTCTCTCCTATATAAACATAAACATTTTTTTAGTATTATTTTTGTTGGAACAGAGACTAGTTTGCCATGGCCAAAAGCTTCTTCAAGATGGAACACCCTCTCGGTACGTTTTTATTTCTTTTCTATTTTTCATCGCATTATCTTAAATTTATTTTGCCCATTTTTGAGGGGGTTACTGTGGTCGATCTTGCTGAATCCTGGGCTCGGAGATTTTCGAATGATTAGTTAATGTGTGAGATTTTCGAATGATTAGTTAATGTGTGAGATTTTCTCGATCAGTTTCGTTGAATTCAAGAAAATTTATTATCCTTTGATCTGGGTTTCTCTTGAAATTTCCATTTATGGGTTTTTTCAATAATAATCTCTACATGATTCCCCTCTTTGCTTGCTGAGGAACTGCGAGAAAAGAAAAGAAAAAAGGTTGATTATACCCTACATTACAATTTTTGGATGATACCCTTTATCTGGGATTCTAAGTGAAAAAAAAAAAAAAAAAAAAACTATCCACATGTTTGACCTAATACTGTTTAATTTTAATTTTTATTAACAGTTTTTTTTTTTTTTCAATCGTAATATCGTATTCCTTCATGTTGTTTCCTTTGTTGTAACAATATAATGGCCACCATCGTCCTGGAAAGTGAGTAATTTAGCTCTTGTGGATTTCAATTTTGTACCGATTTTTAGTGAGAGCTTATCCCCTTCTTGATGGGAGGATTCAGAGTGTATCTTTGTTTGAGTGTTAAAGCTGTTTAATGTTGATGAATTGTCTTGTGAAGTATATGGGAAGAAAGTTGTCTAGCTGCCTCTTTAATCAATTTTCTTTATTTTGTTGAACTTAAATTTGTCGGTCATGCTACAATGTTGGCATTAGATTAAGTTTAGATCATTAGTTGAAAAGAAAATATAAATAAAGGGAAGTTGTAAATTTGTTTGCAAGTATTAGAGTCTTAAGAGAAAGAAGTTAGTTTAAATTTATTTTCTATTGTTTTTTGAAGTGGATTATATGTAATATCTCTTATTTCATGTATATTTATCTCGCCAAGCTAGTCAGTGGTCTTACTCCAGATCAATTTCTAGAACTTAAAGCATATTTAAGACATTTTCCCCCTCTGACATGCTTTGTTTTATTTGTTTCTGTGCATGTTAATGATTATGTTCTTTGCACATAGCAGAAAGGAGGCAGGCAGAAGCTACTCGTATAAGAGAGAAGTATCCGGATAGAATACCAGTAAGATATTGTCATCATGTTAATGTTTAGATTATGTGTCACTTTTTTCTTCTATTTTTTATTTATTTATTTTAAAATGTTACCTTTAAGGGGTAGTCTTCTATATAATTGCTTCTGAGTTTCAGGTGATTGTGGAAAGGGCTGATAGGTGTGATATACCTGACATAGACAAGAAAAAGTTAGTTATATCTCTACTTTTATGATCTCTCTTCTTTCTATATTTTGAATGCAATTGGGATTTCTTAATATGTTTGCTTGTATTGATAATTACTTCTCAACAACTGAAAGTTGCTCTTATCTTTATAGCATATTTTATATGTTCCAAAAACAATATTGGATTTCTTTTGGTAATTTTACCCCCCCAAAAAAATTGGCAATGACAAATTGTATCTTCTTGTTCCGTAAAGCATATGTGAGGTTCCTTTTGTGTTTGCTAAGATATTCTTCCAGTATTTTCTTTGTAACTGAGCAATGGAAAATTTTATTTTAATTGTTGTTTTGGTCATTATTTGCACTCGAGGATGTTAGGAGGGTTCTAAAATGAAATGACTGCATTTATGGGTGTTGTTTGTCTATTTGTTTGTTCTGCCAACCCCACACAAATACTAAAGAAAAAAAAAATGTTACATGTCTTACTCACGTTTGGGTACATAGCATTTGTTCATTAACGTTGTTTATGTATATAAGCGTGCGCGAGCGCTCACACGCGCACACATACTTCCAATGTGCATAATGAAAGGATCTATGAAGCACGGATACTTCAAAAAGGGTGACGTATCCATATCGGATACTTATCGGATACCGATACTCCTCGGATACTCGCGGATACGTATCGGATACTTCTTAAAAGTATCGGATACTTCTTAATTAATTTTTTTATTAATTTTGAAGTATTGGATACTTAATTTTGAAGTATCGGATACTCGAAGTTACATATTACTTATAATATTTTGTTTAGTTCTTTCATAAGAGGAATATAGTGAGAGTTAAAGTAATAGAATTTGTCAAATTGATGTATCCTTGTTGTCTCTCTCGCTCTCTCACTCTCTCACGTTTCTTCGTTCTGCTCTCATTCTTTTTTTGGTGTTGGCATGTAAGGATGATGTTTAATTTGCATTTGCATTTGCTTTTGCTTTTAGTTTTGAATGTTTTATGAATGTTTGAGCACTTTTAGGTTAATAGGAATCCCTCTCTTTATTTATTAATTTACTTTAAGTTTTATTTTCATACATATTACATTATTAAAATTATAAAAAAAAAATAATTTATGAATGTATCCCTGCTGTACCCGTATCATACTTTTTCAAATTTTGACATATCGCCATATCCAGATCCCCATATCACCATATTCGTATCCGTGCTTCCTAGGCTATCATTGATGACTTAAAAAAGTATATTTGCTGAAATTTTTATTTAAGAATGGTTTTTTGGCTTTAGCTTTAGCTAAGGTCTTGTGATATTCACTGATGAAGGGGAACAAGTTGAAGCTATTGACCTTGAAGACTCTTAGTTTTGTAGGAATCTTTCTTCTTTATCAAGTTGTCTTTTGCTTTAAGTTTTATTTTTATGCATATTGCATTATTAAAAATTGTTAAAATAATATTTTTTACGAACGTATCCCCGCCGTACCCGTATTCTAACTTTTCAAATTTTGTCGTATCGCCGTATCGTATCGTATCCGTATCCCGTATCCGTATCCGTGCTTCCTTGGAAAGGATCAACTTGGACCTTTTGTTTTAAATATTATTCTTACAACCATGTATAACTTCCTTTGAGACCCATTTTGTTAAACCAACACATTTTTTTGAACACCTTAAACCAACACATGGATCATTGACTCCCTCACATTACCATCACCTATGTTACACGACTCCTCTAAATTTGTGAATTACCCATGTCGGACACTTGATACTTGAGTAGGGGTATGTGATACATGTGTGGCTTTCTTAGTGGGACATGAACTTATTTAGTATGCCTAAGTAATCGAGTTTACTATATAACTATGCACAAGACTCGTTTTTTTTGCATGAAATGTTCTGTGTTAGTTTGTGAACTCTGTTTTACCCTAAAAATTATGTCCTTGGACATGATAATCAGATAATCTGTCACTTAGACACATACCTATGCCTGATATCCCCCCAAGTCCATATAACATAGACGATGCCAATCTCAGGTTTTTGAAGGTGATTGGATATTACTACCAATTTTATTCTTACACTCACATTTCTTCCTACAATATATATTTAATCTAGAATATTAGATGTCTGTATGTTCACAGACTCTTTAGGTTATATCTATAGTGACGTTTTTCTATCTTTCCTTCGAAGTTGCTTGTAGTCAATCTTTTTTTCTACATAATGAATACTTTGTCCCCCTTTTTATATTAAAAAAAAACTCTTCTTATTACCTTTTTAAAAGCCCTAGCACATACTTTTTCTATGTCAATAATACGCACCATATGGTGGTCTTTTCTTTTACTTGTATTTCCCCATTAGTTGCTTAAGTAGAAAAATAGTTCCTTGGTAGATCTCTTTGAAGGGAGATGCTACAATGTGCATCCTTAAAAAGGTGCACATGATATGCCTTTCATAATTTCACAAAATTTCATAACTTAAACACAAAATGTCGTAACTTTTTCACTAAAAGAGTCATAACTTTTTTTTACTCAAAAATGTCATAACGAAATCCCAAAATGTCATAATAAAAATCACAAAATATCATAACATTATCATTCCTAATTTTAAGGTGCACATCATAAATTCGTTATTCATAACTTTATCACAAAATGTCATAATACACATTACAAATAATCATAATGTTCATTATAAAAAATTATAATTTTTTTACGATGTGCACCATTTTAAAGGGTGCACATTGTAGATTTCTCCCTCTTTGAATGTCACCTTTATTCATTCATTAGACATTTTCTTAGGCATTCAAGATGTTTTAAAACAAATTAGTCACTAAATTGCCCATTCATCCCACAAATACTTCAAGTTTTAATAAGAAATCACGTGATCCCATGGACATCTATTCATAGCTTCTTTTTATCTTCACTACTTTGATCGTGCAAATTTATAAAACATATAACTGAGTGGCAGACTGGCACTAGTTTGGTGCTACTCCTTACCAGTGAAAAAATTCCCACATAAGGCATTTTCTTTATTCTCTTAAAGCTCATTCTCTCTATTTTATTTCTTGTTAACAAAGCCAACAAGAGAATTACTGCAGTAAGACAATAACCCAAAAAAAGAAATATGCAGACAATAACCCCAAAAAAGAAATATGCATACATGCAGTGCTCGAGTTTCTGCCTAGAAGCCAAAATATTTTAATTCTACTTGGTTTGGCACATATTGAAGAAATAAACAAATGTGGTAGTCACAGTTTCCACCTCGAAGCTGAAGTATGAAATTTATGTATGTGAATTCTAATATGAAATCTCTTTCTTTGGGATGTGTAGATACTTGGTTCTTGCTGATCTGACTGTTGGTCAGTTTGTGTACGTGGTGCGAAAGAGGATTGAACTCAGTCCTGAAAAGGCTATCTTCATTTTTGTGAAGAATATTTTGCCTCCCACTGGTGAGATTTAACATCTATCTTTTATAAATATTTTTCTTCCCATCCCTGTTTTTCTTCAGTTTTCTCAACAAAACAAAAATGAAATCTGAAGTAATGTTTGACTTGTTGCAGCGGCTATGATGTCAGCAATTTATGAGGAAAATAAGGATGAAGATGGTTTCCTTTACATGAGCTACAGTGGCGAGAACACGTTTGGATGACTTTAAGACATGGGTGTGCATAAGACCTGAAAAAGATTATAAAAAAATGAAAAAGAAATGAGACTTTAGATCAGTTGTAAATTCTCTGCAGACTCAGTGGTTTGATATTTTCTATGTCAATGATGATCAGTGCAGATAATTCTTGTATAGTCAAGTTATATGGTTATTTTGATTACTCAGATACTGGTAATGGTTCTAATATTTTAAGAGTCCTCACTGGTTGATCTCAATTGTTTCTTTATGCACATAACCAATAGTTTGTTTTGTTTGAGAACCGAAATTTAATGTTTGTTAATGAATTAACTGGAGCAATTTTAATTTTTCTTTTTTGTTTTTTGGGTATATTGGAGGGATCATGGAATCTTACCTTTGATATTTTGAATCATTGACTTCCTAATAATGTGTTACTAGATTGAATCAAATAGTCTGAGTTCTGCAAATGTATGCCATATTAATTGTTGAAGTTTGGTCGATGCTACAAGTTTGACCCATCGATCGGTCTTCTATCTCAGTTGTAAGTTTTTGGACTCTGACTTCTTTTGAAAAGTGGGTTAAAAGTTACTTTTTATCTTTTAATTTATTTTGAATCACATTATTATTTCTTATATTTTTTACACGTTTTTTCAAAAAAAATTAAAAAGTTAATTTTTAACTATCTTTCAAAACACCCTTATGTATTGAGTGATTAGAATTTAGAACTTTGAAACATGGGAAATGACTAGGTACTTCTTCGTCATAGCTCATTGTGGTTTTTTTTTTTTGGGGTAGTTTTAGAAACAAAATAATTAAAAATTTGGAGACCCATCATTTTCATTTTTCTGCAAAATTAAGTTTCAAAAATTGTAAAATTAACTTTTTTTGGTGTTTTTTTAAAGGGGTTAATGAGGGAATTGGTTAAAAAAATCTTAAAATGGTTTTAAATTCTTTATAACATGAAAAAGTGAGTTGTTTTTAGAAAAAACATTCTTGAAATTAGTTTTCAGAAAAAGTTTGTCAAATGAATATTTTGTATTTTTTCAAAAATGAAAACATAGAACTAAAACACAATCAAACATGCGTCCAAGATGCCAAATTGAAATTTAGGTGTCGTTTGGAAATTGGGGTGGGTTGGTTTTTGGGCTAAATTTGTAAAAAAAATAAAAAAATAAAAAAGATTAAAAAATCAATAAAAAAATGTTACATTCAAAATACAATTAATCCACTTTTTTTCTATCAGATATCAAAAAGATGTAAAATGTCAGCTCAAATAAATTTTTTAGCCTGGATCAAAAAGTTAAGAAGTTAATCCAACAGCCAACGAAGACTTAGAGCATCAGTATCAACATTTTCAAAATTTAGTTAAATTATAATTTAAAAGGCCATTTTTCTATTTTAGCTAGTCACCCACTGCATCAAACTCTCTATTTTAACTCAATCTTATTAAAATATTTGTTATTCTTTTTTTTTTTATAATTAAATTGATGAGTTATGAACCAAACAACTTTCATGTTTTACAAAAGGTAAAACTGGAGTAAATGTATATAAAAAAAATATTTGTCGTTGACTGGCCGAATGTCCAGTAACACACAATTAACGATGAACAGTATCTCGCTTGTTGTAGCGAGTTACTGTAGTGCTTGTATATTAACGATGAACAATAACGAGACTCATTCGGACCATTTTTGATGAATAGTACCACTAATCTAGCTAAAAAATGAGTTTAGCTAGTTTGATGGCATGTTATAAAAAAGGTAAAAAGTCAAAAAATTACTAAAAAAGTAAAAAAGTTATCACTATTCACAAATTAAAAATATAAAAAAAAATTAAATTACACAAAAAAGTACAATCCAACTTTACACAGGTGATGGTACTGAAGTGATGGGGAAAATTAAATACATACACTGTGATGGTACAAATCACAAATTAGATATATATATATATTCATTAAGTTGGAGAGTACTGTTGGGCCCTAAAGGCCCACTATGGGTTTCATTTCGATAATTCGAACTATTTAATGTGTAAAACTCGTCGAATACTATATGATTGTAAAAAATCATGTTAATCGGATATGGATAACTATGTGATCAAATCAGATTTTTGTCAGCTGTTTATTTTTCATCGTCTATTTTTTTTTCATACAAAACTGTTTTGATCACATAACTATCGTTATTTGATCAACGTGATTTTTTACAGACATATAGTATTTGACGAGTTCTACACATTGCTCGGTTCGAATTATCAAAACGGGACCCGTGGTGGGCCCCCACAAGCCCAACAGTACCCATGAAGCCTCGTACTATATATATATGTCCTGAAGTTATCATCATTTACAAGGCAATCTGTACTGTCCTTCAATCAACAGTCACTGAGTCTAGGACATAGGGGTAATAATGTAATTTTACTATTTTATTTAATATTTTAATACACATTTTTCATAAAAAGATAAAAAATTATTCCAAATACATATCTTTTTTCTATCTATTTTTTTCACCAAAAAATTAATAAGTGCATTTATTTAGAATACTCCAAATAACCCCTTAAATTGATTCTGACAGCTCTAACCTAACCCAACAATTGGTTTTAACAGCTCTAAGCCTAACCCAACAGCTTTAAGCCTAACCCAACCAAATAACCTAATTAGAGTATGTTCAAAATTTATACCTTGTTTGAAAAGTTAACTATTTTAGTTGACTATTTAATTTTTTTGTTATTACAGTCTGACTAAAATAGTTGTATTTAAAAAGTTGGTTGACTTTTTTCTTATAGTTAATTTGATGGTTATGAGAAAAAAATAAATAATTATAAATTGAATGTAATATTTTATTTTACTAACTATTTTAATTTATTTTAATTTTTAGTGAACTATTTTAATCCAACCCTCTCCCAAACCATCCTTACATATACTCTCACACCAAGTTTCAAAAGGGGTTTATAATCATAATCATGATCATATAGCAGAATGACAAGTTCTAGAGCAAAAAATAGATGGCAATTTAAGTTTACATAATGGATCAAAATAAAATTTAAGGAGTCATTCAATTCAATTCAGCAGAAAAAGTAAAGTTCTAGACTTTTAATTCTTGCCTTAATTTATTTTGGAGGTGTAACAAAAAAACATGAGCATGGTCATTTAGAAGAAGAGCATTTTTTGTGGTACTGGTTTTTGACCCATTTGATTCCCACAGAGGTTCCACTCTTCACCTTCTGGGCTCCCACCACTGCAGCCGCCTTGGCCTTGTCGAACCCCGCTGAAGCTGCCGTTTTCACCTCTTCCATCTTCTTGCTGCTGCCACCGCCTAACCTTCCCTTCTTACTGCTATTCATGGGCTTGTCGTCATCATCGTCGATGCCACCCCATTGATCAGCCCAAGTTGGTGCCTTACTTCCCATATCTGCACAACAAAAATTAAACATATAGTTTCCTACGGTTAAATCATAATTTTTTCTGAATATATTGTGTCTTAAAAAAAAAAAAAAATATTAAACAATTCAATGAGATTGTATATACAAACAGAAAATTAATACAGAAATTCTGTACAGATTTTAAAACAAAACACGAATAGAGATGATTTTTATTTACAAAAATGACAGTGTGTAATGAGAGATCATGAAACACAACTAGAATGACATCAAGATAAATTTAGAGCAATTAAAATTTGTTTTAAAATTCGTGTTACAAACAACAGAAGATTTAGAAGAATAAGAAGGAGAAAAAAAAAAGAAAAAGAAAAGGAAAGATAAGGGAAGTAAATAAAGATGAAAATTTATAGCCTATAAAATTTCTCTACCCAACTCAATCACAGATTTAACATACCTTGAATCTATGTAAAAAGAAAAGTAGCTTTAAACCCCTTTAACCCAGAGAGAGAGAGAGAGGACCTTGTGAATTTGTTGGGTGTGATTAGGTCAGTTGATAGGAAAATGAGTGAGAGCACTAATTAGTGCTATCACTAATGATGTGACAGTGGGTCCCATCATGAATGATTTGATATTTTGGTCTTGGTGTTATATTTTTTTTGTGCCATGTCATTAGTGGTTTTTTTAGAACTCCAAAATTAGTGGTCTCTATCATTGTTGAAGTTGATAAGGGCCAAGTTTGATGAGGGCATTAATCACAATTCCCATCCTGTTCACACTTAAATGTAACCAACAATGATTCATCCCACTAAAAACATCACCACTAATAGCACTAATGCATTAAAAAAGTAAAAAAAAAAAAAAAAACACAACTCCAAAACCAAAACATCACATCATTAATGACGGGACCCACTGCCACCTAATTAGTGGGAGCACTAATTAGTGCTCCTAAGCATTTTTCAAATGTAACAATCTTTAATCTCCATGTTTATGAGCATTCACGTTTAAATCTCTCTTATTATTTATTCATCAATTTATTGATTATTTTCATAGGCATTCATGTATTTCAATAGTCCTCTTACAAAATTTATAATTATTTTTTAAAAATAATATTCAAATTCACTTCATAAACTTACTTAAGAGAAACGCTTAATTAATAATTAGACAACATATGAATAGATTGTTACATTATTAAATTAAAAAAATAAATTTAATTTTTTGAAAAATGCTAGACTCCATGAGTTCTATCAAATTTTTTACTAAACACTCACATTGGTATGGGGTGCTAGCGACCTTAACAAAGTTATTAATTTTTTTACCAAACACTCACATGGGTGTGGGACCCACAAGTGTGGATCCTACACCCATGTGGTTTGGTAAAAAATTTAAGGGTTAATTACACTTTTACCTCTTAAACTATCACCATTTTGTTTATGTAGTCCTTAAACTATTAATTTTGTCTTATTGGCCCCTAAACTGTCACATTTTGGTTTTGTTTAATCCAAATGGTAAATGACATTCAAATTGTTAACGGCAAAGGTGAAAACGTGGCCTGCACGTGAGATTCAAAACTGGCGCCATCTAACATTTGGACTAAACAGAATCAAAATGTGATAGTTTAGGGACTAACAAGACAAAATTAATAGTTTAAGGATTACATAAACAAAATGATGATAGTTTAGGGGATAAAAGTGTAATTAACCCAAAATTTAATAATTTGTTGGGTCCCTAGTATTGCTCGTGGGACTTACATGAGTGAGGACCCCACATCTATGTGAGTGTTTGATTAAAAAAATTAGAGAAACTTACGTATAGGTCATAGGTAGACTTATTGTTTAATAGATCTTGGGAGAATTAATGACGTTTTTCATTAAATACTATTAAAAATAGTCACTAATTTTTTTTTAGAAACAGTTTGAAAATCTTGTCACAAAAAATGCCACTAATTATAAGTTTTAACGACAGTTTAAAAAAATGGCCAAAA